TTTGAGCTACATTGTTAATTCTAATCTCAAAAGCAAATGTGGGGACCTTTCTTCTTCAAAACACTTTTTTTCCTGACAAACGTTTTAAGGTCAAAACAAGGCTTATATAATGTTTTTATGGTCAAAAGCGGCAAATATTTTTGTTAGCTAGGAAATTTTTATTTTCCTGGCAAAAATTCTTAAAAAGTATTCCTTGGCTGGAGAGTTCTTTTAGTCCTGAATTTCTAGCTGGCAACCAGTTGTGACTTACAACTGGCTACTTGCTTATGGTACACTTGCTACATGTTGCTAGGAGAGTGCTTGAGCTATGTGAAGCAAGCAAGATCTTTTTTTAACTCGGAGATTGCGTTAGTTATTGTAGGTGAACGATCTGTCACTCACTAAGTCACGTACTCACTCACTTCCCTGTAAACTGCGTTGTTAGCTTGGTACACTGCTACTTTTTTAACTTATTACCTGCTGGAAATTAATCTTCAMGGTCATCCCTTTTCAGAGTCGTTATATTACCACTAGACCATATGCCCATTAGACATCATATCCTAACTATTTTACTAGCTTTTATCCGACAGCAGATCGAAGTTTGGGTTTCCTGTGTCATAACCGATAAAACTGCTTCTACGATTAGACTGATTCGACCAGTCTGTCAGGTCGCTCTTGTTTTTGTTTTTTTTTTTGCTCCCAGTCGCTAGTTTTAGCGACAAACCGAAAAATCGAGGAGCGAATACTACGACTTATCGAATCACATGGAATCAGTTTACTTCTACGATGTACGACGAGCAAAATGTCTTTAAAATTCTACTGTTTGGTGTAAATTGTACAAATTTAAAGATGGTTTTAAAAGGATTTCAGCTTTGAGTGCTTTTCGACAGTTAGAAACAGTCAGGGAAACGTACACGAAGCTCCTTGTTTAACTCGGAGATTCAAGCGTGTAGTCTACATGAAACTTCTTGTTAGTCTGGCTACAATGCCATAGGCTAGGCCGACTTTAGTTTTACCTTTTCGTCTATCTATCTATTTGTGTATTATGTCAAGTTTGGTCACCGGAGGTCTTAAGAATTACAGTCTTTCGAACCGGAAATCAAACAACTTCAATTGGGATCCCTGTGTCATTACGTCAAATGACGTCATGATATTCATTATCTAAACATACGTCATATAGGTCTACCTCCGAGTCTGCGGCACATCATCATCTAATACCACATATTGCTTGATTTCTATAATAGTATATTTGGAGGACGTGTGCTTTATGAATAACTGAATAAACATAAGCGCATGCTCAGAGTAGTAGACATTCCATCAAATCACACATTTTAGCAGTTATCAGGGCGGTCCATATTGGCCCATGTCCACGTCGTTGCGACAAGCCACCAGAAAAGAATATCGCGGTGCGTGAATAAACAATTAGAATTGAACTGCACATTAATCAATTTATAAAGAAAAACTAGATGAGGTGTTCTACGGCATTATTTACTTTCATATATAATAATGACTAGAATATTACATGGTCTTTTGGAGAAACGAATTTTATCTTATCTTGTTGAAATCTTTCGCTCTTCGCATATCCGCAAACCCAAGTAATTTCTCAATTTTCCAAAATAGCTAGCCCGACTTAATGCTCCAAGAGGGTCTAGTTATTTATAATTTCTGTTGTTGTTGTTATCTTTTTTGTGTGTGTGCTTCTTTCTCATTGTTAAGTTTTGTTTTGTGTTTGTCGCGTCTCCTTGCTGTATTTTTCTCTATTTTTCTTCGTGGCCTTACTGTAATACCTCTCTATTGAGCTATAAATTTGTCTGTGTCAATGTTTTATTTGTAGACTGCACGACTTTAGGAATACCCCTTGGAATGGAGAGTAAACTCATCCCAGATCAATCCATAACAGCGTCGACATCCGAGCCCTCGTTCCCTCCGTACAGTGGACGTCTTAATCAAAAGGCTGGATCGCACTTGGAAGTGATACAACGAACCCATATTTTCAGGTTCAACTTAAACATGTCAAGCACATCTCAAGAGTTCGTTTAAGCGGTATACAAGCTGTAATAGGAAGGCAAAACATAACAGCATGTATAGAAGAAATGTTCTTTTCATACAGTTTGGATGGTCAAAAATATATCGATTATGTGAAGCCAGATAATGATAGGGTACGTCGTTACGGTAGTTGATTTGCACATATGTTAGCATAAAACTGGAGGGCGCGTATTTACATAAAYGTAGTAGTTACAGTAGCTCTAGACCCTTTGAGTGACAAAATGACCCTCTTCTCATTGTGGCATTTTTTTYCYTTTYMAMC